ATCCTACAAAAATCAGGGTCAAAAAAGGTCAAGGTCAAAAATTGAAAATTTTGAATTTTCAAAACCTGTTCCTTTTTTTGAACTATAAAGCTGAAACAATCGAACTTCTAAGACAACGTGGCTCAACGGATGAAGTAATTGTATGCAAAGTTCCATTTTGAACAAATGTATACGTTGCGAGTTAAGTCCCTTGTCAAAATTGTCAATAATGAGTAATTTAACCCGGATGTGCTACGCCCACCACAATTTCTTTTGCATAGGTTAATTGATATTCTGAATATTATGTAGTATCCCAAATTTAAAGCTTCTACATCATACAGGTCAAAAGATATAGGTCAACAAGAGTCAATAAAGGTCAAAATAGAAAATTGAAAATATGGAAATTTCAAAACCCGTTCCTTTTTTGGAACTATAAAGCTGAAACAATTGACCTATTAACACAAACTGGCCAAAATAATGAGGTAATTGTGTGCAAAGTTCCTTTTTGAACAAATGTATCCTATGCGAGTTATGCCCCTTTCTCAAAATGTAAACAATTAGTAATTCAACCCGGATGTGCCACGCCCACCTCAACTTTTTTGTCATAGGTTAATTCATATTCAAATTGTCTTGTTGTGTTCCAAGTTTCAATGTTCTACATAAAATAGGTCATAAGATATATACACACCAAGCTCAAAGAAACAAAAATATTGTAAAAAAAAAACTCAAATTTGAAAAATTCACGAATTTCAATTTTGCTTTAAAAAACGATTGTTATAAATCATTTGAAAGAGCATGAAAAGCACATTAAGAATCCGAAAAAATTAACCCTCTAGGTTAAATAGGTCACGTGCTAGAGCAGTCCAAAGTTGCGAATTTGGCTGTTTTCGGACAGCTATAAAACCGGAAGTACATGTCGGAGGTCAAATGTCAAAGTATTAACTGATAGCTAAGGTCAATGACCTTTGACCTTATGAAGGTCAAGGTCATCAAAGTTCACGGTCACGAGATATGACCCTTCAAACTTTGAAAAAATTCAACCGGATGTTGCAAAAAAGCAAAATTGAGAATCGAAAAACGGCTTCCTAATGTCATGTTTTTTTTTTATCTTCTTTCATTTGACACCAAAATCATTTAAATCGGATGAGCCATTATGTCTGAATAAAAATCGAATCATTTCAGAAAAATCAAAATGGCGGCCAAAGTTTCACGTCTGTTCCGGATTTTTTTTTCTTCGTTTTTTTGTCATAACTTTGTCTACCTATCAGCATAAAAATTTTTGTCCTATATAAATTACACCGGAAGATATTCAACCGGAAGTGAACATCGTTTTCCTGTTTAAACCGGAAGTGAAATTGAAAATTTGACTGTACCATTTTGTTTACATTCTTAAACTGTGTTTGCTCAATTTTTTTCAGATTAATCAGACAAAAAGCAAAAAAAATGAAAAAAATGCAAAATTTGGCAAAAAAAAGGTCTGCGACAAATTTTCGAATTTTGAAATTTTGAAACTGCTATTCTTTCAGATTTTAACAGTAGATTGACATTTCGATAACAAACTGGGACAACAGTTTTCGGCCATCTATTTATAACGTTTTAAAATTTTCTCAGACATTTTGTGGAATGTAATGACCACTTACAGGCCAATGATTTTTGTTGTTGATTTGTCTGATCACTCTTCCTAAAAGATAGCTTGCGAGACAAGGTAACATACGCCCACTGGCAGCTGTCAGAAATGATAAAACAGTCTTTAGTGACTAAAGTACGAATTTTCTCATATTGAAGAAATTTTATTAGTTTGAATTCATTTACATATATATATATATGCCAGTTATTTATGCTGAGTAATTCCACAATTTTTTTAAAATCAATATCAATAACCCAAATACAACAAACAATTAAATCACACAGCTCTAATCAAGGGCAAAAACAACTTTTGACGCGTGTTAACAAAGTCAAGGGCAATAACTCCAAAACCGTTCATCGAAAATGCGTCAAGTTAGAACTTGTCCGAGATCTTATCATTCCAAAGATCACACAAGTTTCCTCAAAATCGGTTGAAACCTGTAGCTTCAATCCTGCTCACGAACTTTTTTGTACAAATTTCGACGCGTTTTAACAAAGTCAAGGGCAATAACTCAAAAACCGTTCATCGAAAATGCGTCAAGTTAAAACTTGTCCGAGATCTTATCAATTCCAATGATCACACCAAGTTTCATCAGAATCGGTTGAAAACTGAAGCTTCAATCCTGCTCACGAACTATTTTTAACAAATTTCGACGCGTTTTAACAAAGTCAAGGGCAATAACTCAAAAACCGATCATCGAAAATGCATCATGTTAGAACTTGTCCGAGATCTTATCAATTCCAATGATCACACAAAGTTTCATCAGAATCGGTTGAAAACTGTAGCTTCAATCCTGCTCACGAACTATTTTGAACAAATTTCGACGCGTTTTAACAAAGTCAAGGGCAATATCTCAAAAACCGTTCTTCGAAAATATATCAAATTGGATCTTGACCGAGATCTTATCAATCTAAAGCATCACACCAAGTTTTATCAAAATCAGATGAAAACTGTAGTCTCTATAGAAATATTGACGGACGGACGTATAAAAATGGCAGATTTCACGGCTCACACAATTGTCTGTTTCTTTCTTTCAGCTTTTAAGATAAACAACAAATAGAAATGGAAAGTCTAAATACTACTTTGAATTCTACTGCTCCAGTAGTTAAAGATGAAACAGCCACTGGATTGGCTTCACTGGGAATTATATTATTAGTGTGGATTTTATTTAGTAATGGAGCCTTAATCATTGGCGTTATGATCAACAAATCCCGCAGGAACAACATGTTTTTAATTCACATAGTCAATATCGCTGTAGCCGATATTTTAGTAGGAATCTTCGTTCTCCCAATATTGGTAGATTTCATCTTGGCTGGTAGCTGGAAGCTAGGTGATGAAGCTTGTCAATTTTGGGTGATTTCAGACATCTTAATGTGTACTGTGTCTATAATAGCCATTGTTATGGTCAGTTATGATCGGTTTATTTATCTCAATTGGCCGAAATTTTACTCCTCGGGTTATAAACAATATATTCTCGGGTCAGTCATGGTGTTATTACCTTGGATTATCGGTCTTGGTTTAGTGTTACCTATTTGGTTAAATGGACAAGCTAGTCAGTTTAAATCAGAAGACAGTTGCCTATTGGTTCTTCAAAGAGATTTTCAAATAGCATCTTGTTTCATTAGTTTTTTTGTACCAGCATTTTTTGCCATCTGTATGAATTTCGCCATTTTGATAATGCTTTGTGTTTTGAGAAGAAGATGGCAGGATCGAGGATACATTCCAAGCTCCAAACGCCCAGCAAGACAGGTCCTGACCGTAGGTTTAGTTAGCCTCGTCTTCGTAGTCATGTGGACGCCGTTTTTCGTCCTTGTATTTCTGAAAACGATCGATAAAACATTCATCGCCCCTTCTTTATTGGACTTTGCAATTTGGTTTGGTTATTTGAATTCAGGGGTTACCCCGGTACTGTGGTTGATTTATCCCCTAGTTAGAGAAAGTTATCTTGATCTGATATGTTGTATCAAGAGAACACGCGAGAAACCAAACGATGAAACAAGAAGAACCATGATTGATGATCAACCAGCCGACATCGAACTCCGAGACATGTAGACGGGGAAATTTGTATGAAGACTTGACCGTTACAGAAGTTTCAGTCGGCTGTAAATTTAAAAGAGCTTGCTTATTATATAATATAATGTAGGTGGTTACTGTAAGGTTTGTCGGGAAGAAGACGATACTACTGTATGTACACTGTATATATATATATTATAAAATCAATCCTCAAGTATATCTCTTAATGGTTGCAGAAGCACGACATTCTGGGCTTTGTACAATATGTATACTACTTTACTAGTCTGTAAAAAGTGGTTTGGGTTCTAAACAGCGCGGAGGTCAAACCTATACTAGATGAAATATCTCGAACAAATTCTCTTCATCGTGCCAAAAAAAGCGAACCCTTTTTATACAATATACATGTAGGCTACTCATTTTTATGTAGAAAATCTTTTATTGTTATATTTTTATATAAAAACGATGTGATAAATATTTCTCATTAAAACCCTCTGAGCAGAATAAAAACACCATATTTATTAGATATAGATCTATATTTATAAACATTTATTACACGAATACAGTCATGTACATTCTACTATATATATATAGTTATTTTTGTTGGCTCCATACAATTGGTTTAATAAAAAATAAAATACATATTATTTCGTGTAATTTTGTTACAAATATGTCATGTTGCAATATTTATTGTATACTTAATGATGATAAATGGCACTTCTTACATCAACAATCTACTTTTATTTTTTTCGGCTAAGCCATTATCACCACCTTATCAAAGGCCATTTCTTTCAGTATAGAAAAAGATGAAAATTGAAAGCGGGAGGGCGAAAGCCTGATTTATGCATACCAAGTATCATAAACATAAATAATAAAGTCTCTGGAACATCTTATACCAATTTTGACTAAGCTGGGCTAAGTCAAGGACAATAACTCCAAAGTAGCTTGTCAACTAAAAGATGTATTATTTTTATTAACACCACAAAACCCAATCGCAGGCATGTCCTGCCTCGCTTGCTTAACCCACCACAGTACTGTTTTAATGGATCTCCATTTTAATAAAAAAAATTTCCATTTACTTTCTCGAAGATTGGTTTCCTCAGCACAAATTCCTCTTGTTCTTCACTTCACTTGATCCCTGATCAACTGTTGTTTACACTACTGAGTGGTGCGTTGCCGAATGAACACTTGGCACACCATATAATGATCTATTTTCGAGCCTCTGCCGATATCGACATGGGCAACATTTTCTCGTCAAAGTCTCTCTGTATTTATTACTCATACATGTATAGGTAACAAAATCCACACAGTAACTGATTAAACTTAGTATGTTACCCATTTCCTGTACAAACAAGAACGTGTATCTTAATGGTGAGAAGTAACCATATCCAGACAACAATTTGCCAAAAATAGAATTCGTACTCATCGGTATATTGAGCATTAAGAACATAAAAGTTGAAACTGATATTGCAATGGTCGTTTGTCTTTCTCTTCCTTTATTTTCGTTAACTTCATGAAGATCCTTTCTAGATTGCGAGCTTCGTCTAAGTGAAACACACAAAATCATATTAAATATAAAGATACCAGTCAGTGGAATGTAGACGAAAAGTACCTTGGATGCCACACTAAAATTATTCAGAACAACTTGATCATATTCGGTCCTTTTTAATGCGTAAATGGCCTCTCCGGTTTCACTTTGGTACGTGGAGATACGAAAGTTAAGGGTAGTAAAAGTGTGAAAACCAAGGGAAACGAATAACAGAGTAACAATAGATAGAACTGGAGACTTGACTAATCGGGATCTAGCTCTTTTGAGAGGAAATAATATGGCTAGCATTCTTTCAAACGCCACTAACATAACCATGCAGTATACCACTCTTATTAAGGTAGTGCCTCCAAAACTGCTCAAGTAAATAACATTGACGTAATAGAATTTGGTGGTCCGTTGCTCTATCTCACCATATATCAATTGAGGAACCCTTCTTATGGATGTAACAATCATAAAAGTAGACTGAAAAATGCTAATAGACGCCAGATAAATACTAGTAGCATTTCTCATCTTCTTGTCTAAGAAAACAACTACGTTGAATATATTAGCAACTAGTCCAACTGCACACAGTGGGAACCAAATATGTCCCATGACAATATTCAAGCGAGTGTAAGTTGCATGGGAAATGCCAACTTGACTTTCCACAGTCGTCTTATTAGAATTGGTAATATTGGATTGATTTAAAATAGTGTTGTTGTCAGCATCTTTTAAATCTGAGTAATCCGGATATAACACAAGTCCATCCAAAATATCTTCAACGGGAAAGAATTCAATACCTTTAATAACATTTGTTTCATTACCCAGACCATTCAACTTTTTTGTTATACATTTACAGCACCAAACATCAGATTCTGGGGAACTGCAATTCGAAATACCACTAGCTGAATTGTTGTTGGTGTTTTGTAGAGCTGCAACAATTATTGAATGTAAAACCATAAGGAATAATCCTTTCGATAACCGAACATCGACCATCTTCCTTCAATTTTTCTAAACATGTGATGACAGGTTTTTAATCTGGCCGTTTTAAAGATTTTTTTCTAATAAACATAATAGATATTTGATATTAAGTCCTACATTCATTATGGAATTTTATTTTTTTAAAGGGATTAAAAACATTATTCTAGTTCTCCTAGCTGCTACATGAACCGATTTTCAGAAAAAATATATCTAGATTACGATCCTCAACAGTTTCCGCAAAGCTCAGTCTCTGTAATAAATGGTGAATTTCACTGTGTCTTCTTGGGCGAGACTCTTTACTTCCGGTATTCAGCAGTAATAAAATATTGCGACCTAATTATAGTCTTTACATCTAGAGCCTTTGGGATATAAACCTGACATTTTCTTATGCATTTAATGCTATATTGTGACATGACTATCGGTTTACCAATATACATTCCATTATCAGTTTGAATACATATATTATTTTGTTGACTTTGTCCTGAACGACCAGCATCTTATGTTAGATCTACAAAAATCACATGATCACGTGACAAAATTGGCATAGTTCCGGCAAACTATGGCTTCCATTCATTACCGTGATATGTTGCCCTAGTTGATTAGCTTTTGGATTACATAAAATTAATTCCATTAAAATAAACTTTCATGGCGTGCTCAAAAGGTTTGCACCAATTGTGTATCAAACATTTCATTCAAATGTAGGCGAAACGTGTTCATTTTTATGCATGTGGGCCTACATTATTTAACTCATATAATGAATGGAGCATTTTTCTAATACACAAAACATGGAAATATTGTCATCAAAATATATTTTCATAAGTTACCTCCCTTTAACTTTTAAAATTAGTCAGTTAGAAGTCAAGCTTTTTCCTTCATATTTGTGTATGCGCTTGGCAGGGTATGCTTTCTCTTTTTGGCACCAAATACAAGTTTTCATTCTGACTCACTTAGATTGATACACCTCCTAATATGAAAAGTTTATTATTTCTATTTCTATTCAGTTTTAATATTCTTTCGAGATGAACATGATAATTCCGCATGATGTTAAAATAATAATAAAACAGAGTAGCCTACTGCATCCCCTTAATTAAACTTACGTTTCAAAAACGTTCTCAGCGCTTTTCAATATGAAAAGACACGATAGTGAAATTCCATCTTTGAATTTCTTTCTAGATAAAAATTTTATCGTGTATTTTTTTTTTTAAGTTTCTAAAATATTTCGTAACACATTCATTAATAGTAATGGCTTTGCTAATGATTGTGGGATATTTTCAATCTAGTTCTCTAGTTTTAATTAAATTTCATGGAGCAATCAAAAATATCAAATAGATGGAATGAATAAGAGGAATCTTAATAGACCAATGAAGCAATGGAGCAAGATAATATAGACCAAATAAAAATAGGATTGTACCACCATTTGATTGTGCTGAAAATAATAAAGGTAAATATAGTTAAATTCTCATTTAAAAGAAAATATGAAGGCAAGAAGGAATAATTTAGATGTTCTTTAAATGTATAGAGGTAAACCCACGAAGGAAATAAATCCAGAGTATTCCAAAGTTAACCTATGGTAAGCCCCACCCATTATTTTGTTTATGAATTTTTCTATCACAATCCTCGATAATTAATATTTTAATGTGTGATTAAACATTGTTAATCGATATTCAGAAAATTTTAATTCTAATTATGATTCATTAATTAGAAAAGAAAAGAAAAGTTTGGTGTGGCTGATGAAGGATATTGTACTATATAAATGTAGTCCGTGCTATTTTTTAGCAATCCTCTTTCTCTCTCTCTTTTGGGGTTTTTCCTATTTTTGACTACTTTTTGGAATAGATTTGGAATTTGATGTCTGAAATTGCATTTTCTTTCAGATTTTGTGAGATGATGGGACATGCAGAAGGATAATTGTAAAAATTTTGGGTATTTTTCTTCTGTTCTGATCTGAAATTTTATTAAATGATAATAACTCGCCTAACTCGTTTCACTGACAGAATTTTGTTTCGTCCTGTATTTGCTTGTAAATAAGACAATTTTCACCATTACTTTTCAATGTGAGTGGATTTTTTTCCGTGTTACCCTAACTTCCCGAATTACCCCTAAAGAACAACTTCTCTGAAAGTTTAGGGCTATCGTTTGTATTGATTATCATTAATAATTGTATACCTCGTTAGGCTTTGTTAATTGTACAGGATTGGTTGAGATAAGATCTAGTTCATTAAAAAAATTGTCGATACTTTGACGGTATTAAAAGTACATAAAATAGCTCTTCTGACCAATGTAGGGCTATTTTATGTATTCTGTTTTATTTCCACAATTCATCGACTTCTTGAATCTGTTTTTCTAGAAAATGATTGTGACATCATTGAGCAAAAAGATGTATTATCAACTTTTTAACTTCTATCAACTGGTGGAAACCAGAAGACCCAATCAGTAGTTAGATAATATTGACCTCAGAAAAATTCAGTTGCCTACAGTTTAAGGAATTTCATCAGGAAGTGTACCGACTTATCTTACCTTGAAATAATTTAAGACTTTTCAGAAACAAACGAGATTAGAAAAGTTCTTGCTCGGTGATAAATTTCAGAAAAATCCAACTCTTGGATCTTGATCTTTTTCGTCAGCCATGGGAGCCTACGATCTCATCAACTACTTCTTGTTACGGGCAAAATAGCTCTTAAGGTTGTAAAGGAGTTCTTAAAGTTATGTTTTTTTGGGGGGAACGCTGTTAACAACAAAATTCTCATTAACGACCCACAGGGGTAGAGATCATATTAAATAACGGAACACAATTTTATGGTATACTACTCCTTAGTTTTATTACACACTTACACATGATTATTATTAAGGCCACTTACGTTGAATACAGATTTTCATTTTCCCAGCTTCACTTAAAAGAAAAAACCAAGGACTTCACAGAAATCTATCGTTTTCATTTTCAGAAAGGTGTATCTTTTAGCGTTAAACCATGCACCGAAAATCTTACATGGGTGCTCAAAAAACTGTACTTGGATAAACAGAATAAGGATTCCATTTATCCTCAAATAGCCGATACATTTTCACGTAATTCATTTAAAACAGGTTATTTTTTTTTAATTTATTTATTCGAGGGTATATAAGAGTAACTAACAATATTATATGTATAGCAATAATTAAAAATTATTTGAAAAAAAAATTTAAGGGGTATAATATGGAGAAACTTATAAAGGACAACAAATAGATTTCAAATTTCAAGTAAGAATCGTCATGGCTGTAATGAAAGTGCTGGGTAATGGATGGATTGAAATAACACAGGATTCCGTATAACATAGAAATGACAATTTGGCGTGCTAAAAATAGAAGTTATGTCCCTTTGAATGTTTCCTAAAACATGAATTACGTGAAACGAATATACGAGACTGAATGTCTTATTCCTGTATTTTTTTCTCAATTTCATCATCAACATCATCTAAATCCTTCTGAATGTCATCAGTTGCTTTTTGTGCGTCATCGGATGCTGTTTGTTTGTCATCAGCAGCTGCTCTTTGTGCGTCACCCACTGCTGATTGTTTGTCATCAGCTGCTTTTTGTTCGTCTCCTGCTGCTTGTTCGTCATCAGCTGATCTTTCTTTGTCATCGGCTGCTCTTTGTTCATCACCAGCTTTTCTTTGTTCTTCTTCAGCTTTTATTTTAGCTTCTTGTGCTGCCTTTTCAGCTTGTAATTGACGTCTTCTTACTTGAAGGTCTTCAAGCTCTTTCAACTTTTGTTGTCTTTCCTCGTATTCTCTGTCCCATCTTTCCATCATTTCATCCTTTTGAATCTGCAACAGTCTATTTATTTCAATCCTTTCAGCGTCCATTCGAGATAAAAGCTCTAGTTTAGTTTGATCCATTGTCCTCATAAAATTACTTAATTCTCGATCTCTTTGTTCAGCTTGTTGTTTGGACATTTCAAGATGTTCTAATTGTAGTCTTACAATATCAGTTTCTCCTTTCTGTACCCCTGTCATATTGTTCTCTACTAAACCAAGTCTGGAATACAGATCTTCAACACGTTTTTCTATCTTAGCTCCTGTTCTCTCAATGTGCTTTCTCATCATATCTTCTGCGGCGTCTAGAAATTATAAACAGTATAGAATTAGTCATATGAAAATAATTATTTACATAACAAAATAGGTATGTCAAGGATTTTTATGCCAAGTTCCTGAATTTAATTTTACAGAAAATTTCAATAATTTGCATGGCCTTAAAGGTCAGACCTGAATTATTTTGTTGAAGAAAAGATGCAATTACGCTTTGAAAGACAATGATAGTTGCCCTACATTTCATAAACACTGGACTTTATAGTGCTATATGATCATGATTTGTTGCTTATCAATTGTTACGCATCATAATATATAGATACACAGATTTATAGAACACAATTTTATGTTTCGATGTGTTGAAACCTTTATTGAAAGAGAATTACATTGTTTATCATAATAACCATTTAAAATATATATATATAATATACATGTTTTACGTATGTTTGATTGTTTAAAAATTCAATATTCACACAGAGTGCCGTTTGTCCATTAATTAGTTATAGATTGTACTGACAAAGAGAATGTGACGTCAGGTGAATATGATCTTTTTCTGACAATCAACTTGACAAAATGACATTACATGGTCAGAAATATTGAGATTAAATTAATTTGGCTTCACTCATGTGGCTTGCAGCAGTCTACGTTTTGTAATTTTATATACGAAGTAGGCGTCAAATATAGAGAAAGATGATGTATTTTCAATACTGTAAAACCTTATTATAAATTTTGTGTTGTTTAATTTAAAATTTGATCCGTTGGATTTCTTGAAATAATACCAATGTTTTTCGAATGAAAATGACAGCATCTCACCTTCATCGCCTTCTAACTTTAATCGTTCAGCGTGTCTTATATATCTTCTTATCAAGTGTGTCATCAAATCCTATCAATGAAAATTTATTTCAATAATAATACAGGTTTATGCATAAGATAACTTCATTAGAAATCTCGTTACTTATCTAAGATTTGCCAACTACTGCTTAGCAAATTAAACATCTAGCAAAGTATGGAAACTGCATAACAACAAATACGCAGAGAATATACAACCATGGGGCAGTAAAAACAATACCATGCACCCAAATGACGTTGAGGTATTATTTCTTTACAGAAATTATCGGTTATAGTAACCGAACTTAATTGTGATGCATGTATTGATAAAGTACTGATTTACAGCATTGTAATGACATCCACGAACTGTAAACTCAAAATACATTTTTCTTACCCCTTGAATAGTTGAACCTTGACCACTGCTCTCTATTTCGGACAGTTCGTTAGATTCTTCGGCCTGAAATCACAAGCACCTTATATAGAAAGCATAGGCAGAGGGTATCCATAGAGACCGGTATCATACTGTTTGCAAAAAAACGTGAAAACACCTTATACAATAAATTGTTCATTATGACATTATTCTTTAAATAAAATACAATACGACATTCACAACTTTCCATGGCCATGCTATCATTGCTACAGATGGTGTTTTCACGTAGTAAAACATCTTATTTTCAGATTGTTAACATTTTTGACTCTATCCAAATTGTTTCCATTTTTTTTCTTATTACATATCAGTGCAAAAAAAATTTATGATACCGGTCCTTGTGAGGGTAAAGACATGTTTGAATTTGTTGCTGTGTCAGATCACTCAAGTTTGTTTCGGGTCATTATTCTCCAAATAGTTATTAATTATATCAAAACGCCATATTAAGATAGGCCTATAGTCCTTTTGTTACTTGCCAACCATTCAGAAACAGGCATTATCCTTTTCATTAATAGAATAACAAGTTGAAAACATAATAACGTGAATCATAACACGTTACTCAGCTTAAACATTCGTTGAATGTTCACGTTCAATTTCGAGCATTTCTTTACATATATAATAAACAAAATTCTATGACAGTCACAGAGAGATTTATGTTTTTATGAAAATAACATGTTCTGGCAAATAGAATCAGTATTGATACTATCATAAACACCGATTCAAATTGCCTATTTTTAATTTATACATATCTCATAAATACATGTCATAGTCTTAAAGCTGAGTTTAAATTAACATTAGGCCTATCGTGAAAGAAAGGATTAAAATCAGCCCTTTCCAAAAAGTACCAAGCAATAGATACAGTAATCGACAGTTATGGTCGTTATGGTCAAACTGATATTGACTTAACAAAAATCTATGTATCAGAGGAAACAAAATTTTTATTAAATCCATGATATTTTGAAGTTGGCGCATTCTTCCCTTTTAATATCACAATATTAATACGTATAAGTGCTATTTTGTGTCCATGCCTTTATAAATTAAATTTATATTATATAATATTTACTTATATTAACTTAACATTCAAGCAGCGTGTTTGCTTGAATGAACAACATTATTGAATGTTCTGAATATATAACTGCAAAGTAAAAATTATGTAACTAAATATTGTACGAACGGACCCATGATGCTATGAAGATAAAAATCGATTGCTGTATTAATTAATATGCATCACATGATTTATATATTATGTGGCTTATAACACATTTTCCAATTTTTTATCATGGTTTGTATTGATCAAGTTTAAATGAACAATTAAACATAGGCTTGTGGCAAATCTCGCAAGCGAATACGCCCACCAGCAGCTTGATAAAGAACTGTAAAACAAACTCTATCGTAGCCAGTAGAGCCAAATAAGTGAAAAACGCGATATCAGAGTTTTATGCGATATCTCTAAAGAAAATCATCGGAACATCACCAAATTCAATAGTGAACATCTTCATAATGATATTGACACACATACAAAAGATCAAAAGAATCTATAGAGAATTGTAGCCTGTAGAGTGAGCACGAGGTAAATGTAAACGGACGGACGGACCGACAGGGACAACTACATACGCCCATACTTACTATGGGTTGAAAAATTCACCGTATAGTCCAATCTTTTTTATATTAAAAGCAATCGTCAATAGATCTTTAAAATACATATAAGACGTGTGGTTTTTTTTTTCTATCCAAACGACTACCAGCATCTATAATAGGACTAGAAAATATAATCCCATGAAAATACGCCTCAAAGTTCAAAACCAGCTTCACATACTGAGACATAGTGGTTTCTTCTCAAATCAGAGTTGACCTTTAAACTGGCATAAATGGACATAAATTATTGAGCTCTAGTAGGTTAACAGAAATGTCGATCAAAAATAGATCAAATCTATTATATTAATTATAAATAATGATTGCGATTGAAAGGTGTGTAATTACAGTAATTAGTCAATAGAAATGATTAGTCATTAATGGTTTTTATATTCTAATTATTTGAGAAATTAATAACTATATTTCTTTAATTATTTATTTGTGAAGTAATAAATATTGCATTTTCATGTTTGTTCATTTTTTATCTTCTATACGTAGAGAAAAACTACCTGCTTTCGTCCACATCATAATGGCCTTATAAACTGAAATTGAAATATGTCATCAATGTTATATAGTATAATATTATTTCTGTCACACACTTTATTTATTACTTTTTATCACTGAAATCATATTTATTACAAGTATGATTATTATTATCATCATTATCACTGACATCATATTTATTAACATTATTATTATTATCATCACTGATATCATATTTATTACCATTACTATTATTATCGTCACTGATATCATATTTATTACCATTACTATTATTATCGTCACTGATATCATATTTATTACCATTATTATTATTATCATCACTGATATCATATTTATTACCATTACTATTATTATCGTCACTGATATCATATTTATTACCATTATTATTTTTATCATTACTGACATATTTATTACCAATATTATTATTATCATCACTGACATCATATTTATTACCATTACTATTATTATCGTCACTGATATCATATTTATTACCATTATTATTATTATCATTACTGACATCATAGTTATTACCATTATAATCATCATCACTGACATCATATTTATTACCATTATTATTATTATCATCACTGACATCATATTTATTACCATTATTATCATTATCATCACTGATATCATATTTATTACCATTATTTTTATCATCATCACTGACATCATACTTATTACCATTATTTTATTATCATCACTGACATCATAGTTATTACCATTATTATTATTATTATCATCACTGACATCATATTCATTACCAATATTATTATTATCATCACTGATATAATATTTATTACCATTATTAATATTGTTATCAATGACATCATATTCATTACCATTATTATTATTATTATCACTGACTCCATAGTTATTAACATTATTATTATTATCATCACTGACATCATAATTATTACCATTATTATCATTATCATCACTGATATCATATTTATTACCATTATTATTATCATCATCACTGACATCATATTTATTACCATTATTTTATTATCATCACTGACATCATAGTTATTACCATTATTATTATTATTATCATCACTGACATCATATTCATTACCAATATTATTATTATCATCACTGATATAATATTTATTACCATTATTAATATTGTTATCACTGACATCATATTCATTACCATTATTATTATTATTATCACTGACACCATAGTTATTAACATTATTATTATTATCATCACTGACATCATATTCATTACCATTATTATCATTATCATCACTGACATCATATTTATTACCAATATTATTATTATTATCATCACTGACATCATATTTATTACCATTATTATTATTATTATCAGTGACATCATAGTTATTACCATTATTATTATCATCATCACTGACATGATATTCATTACCATTATTATTATTATCATCACTGACATCATATTTATTACCAATATTATTATCATCAATGATATATTCATTACCATTATTATTATTATCATCACTGATATATTCATTATTATTATCATTATTATTATCACTGACATCATCTTTATTACCATTATTATTATTATCATCACTGATATCATATTTATATCCATGTTTATTACTTTTCATCTTTCAAAGTATTATTTATGCATATTTATAATACATCAAATTACATTAGAATAACATTGATAATGATTTACCTTGCAGACTTATCAACTCGACTTAAAAACAAAATGGTCATCGTAAGCAAGAAAATATTAGAAAATATAATTCACGATGTCCGCTCAAAAATAAGTGTCAAGTAATGGGCAAATCCCTTGTCTGTCATTGATTGGTTTGGCAGCCTCAATGATAAAGACAGGTAGTCTACACTTTCCTCTATTTTGAATTTTATCCGTCAATAACAGAAAAAATAGTTACAGACATGCTATCATTAATTACACATATGTTAATGATTATTTATCGCAGACATGTTATTATTTATTACAGATAAGTTAATGATTATTTATCACAGATATATTATCATTATTTATCACAGATAAGTTATTCATTATTTATCACAGACATGTTATTATTATTTATCACGGATATGTTATTCATTATTTATTACGGATATGTTATTAAATATTTATCACACATATGTTAATGATTATTTATCACACATATGTAAATGATTATTTATCGCAGACATGTTATTAATATTTATCACGGATATATTAATGATTATTTATCACAGACATGTTATTCATTATTTATCACAGACATGTTATTCATTATTTATCACGGATATGTTATTCATTATTTATCACGGATATGTTATCATTATTTATCACGGATATGTTAATGATTATTTATCGCACATATGTTAATGATTATTTATCGCAGACATGTTATTATTATTTATCACAGATAAGTTAATGATTATTTATGACTGATATATTATTATTATTTATCACAGATATGTTACTGATTATTTATCACAGACATTTTATTCATTATTTATCACATTACATATATGTTGTTGCCCCACAATTTTTACCAAGAAGCTGGTATTACATGGTACGCTGTGATTGGTTAAAATACTACCGTTTGGACAGGCTTTGGTAGAAAACTACTTAGATTACAATGTAAAAAAATGTATCAGAAAACGAAAAAGATCCGAAATTGCAATCTGAGTTTAATTAGATTGAAACTTAACCTGATAGAGAAAATACTGAAACTCACATCTAAATTCGCACAAGAGCCAAGAAACAGAAAGATGAGAGAGATACACTAACTACTAAGCATACTATATATTAGAGATTACAGATACTACAAGGGTACAGGGTTAGAGTACTATTAAGACGTGCTTGAATAGTACACAATATGTAATATGTTGTTCTGTTCAGCTGGGGTTTCCTATAATATTGATTATGCTTAAGACAATCTTGTGTTGTATCTAACAGAATAAATACATTAAGACGACAAAGCAACTACAGGAAGGGGAAAAGAAGCAAGCTATCATGCACCTGTAAGTAGGTATATTTTACTTGTTCCGGTTCTTGTTCAGCTTCAGCTAAACACCCAATTCTCTTCAGTATATCCAAAATATATTCTGATTTACATAAACATTTAGATGTTTGAACATGACAACAACAACATAACTTCTTCCATAACCACAATATCGCATTGAATATAGTTTTGGTGCTTGGTATAATATTATATGGTGCTGGAACCGGACAACCGGGTACTATAAATGACAACCATAACTCAGTCCTGGCAAATTTCCATTCTGTATCCTTTTCATCCTTAAAACATTCAAATGAATCGAAATATTAATCTAGAAACACGATAAGCTATGACCTAAAATTCACAAAATGATACATATATACGACATGTATGCTACAAAATCTCGGTTTTTTTTTCGGAAAGAGCCTCAATGTAACAAAATGGAGAAGAAATGATTCCTAACATACTCAATTACTAAATCTTATATAAATTTTACAGTTAGGTTAGCACTGAAATGTTTTACTGAAGGTATGTTTGTGATAGTTGAACCCAGATCAATGAGTGTCAATAGATATCAAGGTATATTACATTATCAAATTCATTACCTGAATTTCTTGGAATGTATTAGACATCACAGCAATAAGTAAATTAATAAGAACAACCATTGATATAAAGACATAGAAACTATAAAGGAAGAATCCAACTGTTTCTACGCCATAGTTTCTACCATCGTTATTTGTTAATGATGCTAAGGGTCCCTGTTTTGTAAGAGTTGGAGCAGAGGTTTCACCCATTCCAATCAAACTCCAAAATAAGGTGAATAAGCTGGCACCAAAACTAGAAAATATCAATAAGAAATACGAGAATCAATAACGAGTCTGTGGTTGATTTAATTTAATTTCAATACATCATTATCCGACACTCATCAAACTTTCTTCATTGCGTGTGATTATAATAGAACAATTCGATAATAGATCTAAATAGTTTATAAAAAATGATAATATATTGGGAGTATACCTGGAAAATGAATCGTTCATACATTTATTTGGAGCATATAGAGCTGCCAGACCACAAGTAAATGATATCATTACTAATACAAACATTCCCATCAGTTTGAACAAATCCATTAATGTTCGACGGAATGATACCAGCATAGTGCCTAATGCCTCATTAGCAGGCATAATAAAAGAAAATCTTCCGATACTCAGCACAGTTCCGATGGTAAATAATATATCTGAGATTAACTCAGGATCAGGTATCCACGATGGTTCCCATACAACTGCAAGATATAAATGTAATTTAATTCTTAAACTAGGCGAAGAAAACGTAACGTTTCAAGTCGCAATGTCCGACGTCGTTAATTCCAACGTTTTGTAGCATCATATGTTTTGGTAAATTCTTCCAAATTGTATGTATTATTGGCAAATGTTAAGAAATTTCCCGAATCACTTACCCACAGCGCCACTTGCTCTACCAACGGTACAGAATTCATCTACGTTGATTTCTCCCTTTCGTAAACTGTCACATATTGGTGTAATACTACTATTATGAGGATTATTTGGATCTGATAAAACATATTGCAAACGTAATGGAATTACTAATTCTAAGGTAAATGATGCCAATAAAAGACTTAACATTAAAGAATCCATCATGTTCCAAAATGAGCTGAAATAATCTTTGGCACCAGCGTCCATTATCTGTTTACATTCTTCCCAAATTAATCCTGAAAATGTGTCACAATGGTAAATATAATATACATCGGAAGTATCAGGCCTATTAGAATATATTGGACAATAAGATGAGCTCGCATGGATGCATTCTACATTTCTCACTTTATAATAAATACCATTGGTACGAACTGATTATACTCTCGATCGGTTTAAAGGGCATTTTCGAGATTGATTTTGGTTTTTATTGTGCTTTAATAATCTTAAGAATTTTCACTGACTATTCCTATCGCATAGTCTCACTAAAATTCGAGTCGAATTTGTAACTTTTGTGAACACTATTTCTGATTATGTAAGCTAAAAAAAAATCCTGCTTCCTGAAACTAAGGTGTGATTGATCGAACGGATAGTGAAGGTGTTCCTTAAAGCATAATAAAAAGATAACTTTTCAGGCAAGATAATATATGCAATATGCAACAATATTCACAATATTTATTGCAAGATGAGTCTAAGCTATGTTTCATTGTACAGCTTCAAACAAGAATTATCGCAAAAATTGGGAACCGAAGTTATTGAAAATATTCGCATAGTATAGCTTTAGTCTTTGGGTTAGCATTATCAGCATCTCTGATATTCATGGTCGAAGACTTTTAGACCGATCCCCAGATATTAAATTGTCATATCTCAGAGTTTTAATTCTACGAGGTATATACGTATTTCTGAGAGTAAGGTTTATTACAGAGTGTATGTAAATATGAAATACCACAGGGAATGTAAGAGTTCATTATTGTGGGCTGCGTTCGTTTAACATCTTAGACAAATGAATTGATTACATTAACACACAACATTTTCCAGTTATTTTAGACTCGATATGAATAATAGAAGTTTTTGGTATGTACTTTGGAGAGTTAAACCCAATTAATTAGGAAACTGATCAAATCATATCTAATGATATTAAATTATTGTATTGTTCTCTTTCAATTGCATTATACATGTATCTTAACTTTATACCAAACGAGATATTTTGTATGGTTGGCACGTTGTTGGCATTAATCAAATATAATATGATATTTTAGATTAATATTATGTACTCGTTGAATTATTCACGTTACGCACCGATGAGCCCAACATTGAGTTCTCCTTTATCGGAATAAAAGTTCGACACATGTTCCTACGAATTAAAATCTCAATATTAGTAAGTCATGAAAGTGACATTAATTTGGTGATCATAATTTCGAGATGTTAGGCTACTGTTATCCAAAGAAAATCAAAATATTTGAAGGACACATACGCAACTTCCGCTGAATTCCGGATCAACGCGGTGAGTTGGTAGCTTAAACTGAGTTTTTATTGTTATAGTATATTTATTTTAAGACATGAAGAAATGTCCATTAGTCATCTTTTATAATACATACCAACAATCCATAAAACCACCAAAACTACAACAGCTAGAGCAAATGGTGCAGGGTCATCACAGGCAAAACTATCGAAGGCGTACATTACTTCTAATTTTGTTACCATAACAACAATCAGAAATGTAAGGTACGAACATGTATAACTTAAAAATTTCATCAAAGGTGTATTTAATATGTTGGAAACCTGAAATAAATTAATTTCTGAATTCGAAATTCTTACGTAGAGTGCATCAACATAGAACTACATTTCCCATAAGCAGTGACGAATTCACATTCCTGAACAAGAATTTGGATTGAATTTAATATGAATAACATGGCGACACATGGCGTCTAAAGTAATTCATTCTATAGCCTAATGTCATATCGTGAAAATCAATTATTATTATAAAAATTGCAAAAACAAGATAACAGGCCTCACTTCTAGCAGTTATTTGCTCCATTATAAAAACGCTTATGATGTAATATTCAATATAGTTACCCGACTCCATGGTGCTATTAAATATGCAATAGATAAAATAGGTACACAAATACAACCTATTGGTATAGATAACATTAAATAGGAAAATCTGTTAAGATATCTTAAAGCTGGAACTCCACTATACCAAAGTTCTGTTATCTGAGACTGACATTGACTATGGGCAACAAACTACAATGGACAAAACGATGAAAGGGATGGGTAACTTGAACAGTAAAACGAAATGGTTTTTTTTTTCAAAAATGATTGGACAGTAAGATAAGCGATGTGCCCGTCTTCATTAACCCATCAGGTGCAGTACTTCTTTAGTGTTTATGAGCAATTGTACCTAGGACAAAGTTTACAAAAAAATATTATGTGACACATTTCATTTTGGCGTACAAAATTATAAATACATGTATAAACGTTTTGTCTTGTACAATAATGTATCATTCCCATTCTTTCACTATATAGATTCTCATTTCCAATCAAATCAATCCTTTCTACGTTTGAAGTATGAAAAATACCTTTTTCTGTTCCATTCGGATTGCAGTTCCAAGTACTGGTAATATTTGGTCAGGTTCCTCGCTATCTGGTAGTTCAGAAGATGCCTTAATATGTGATTTACCAGTTAACAAGGCCTTGACCTCGTCTGAACTAAGGCATTGTTCCAGTAAGGCCAAAGTAAAGTTTTGACATTGATTATCTAATTCGATGTACATTTGCTAAAATTACAACATATATTCTAGTAAATAGATGTTTTAAGTTTTAATATTGCTAAAACTTTTCGCATTGATCAACATATGGGTCTTATCGATATTGCATTTTAGTATATCAATAGCATTTGTCATGCAACGTGAATATACCACCCCCCC